ATAAATTAATATTGTTCATAATGTTCAGACACTTATTTTTATTTTACTCAGATTTCCCTTTAATTACATGTTTTCATATTAATATTCCCTTTAAAGTGGGTTTAAAAATGAATATTTTCACATTTTACATTATCTAATGTACAGTACCACAAGTGGCACCTACAATATTTATCGTCTGTAGCCATTGGATCACATAGAATTACTCAGCACTAGGTTATTGCTGCAATAAGTTTTAATGCGTATTCTGAATGGCTGTGGTATGAAAATAAGTTGTGGAAGGAATTTCTTGAGAAAATAAAAATAGAATTCCTCATTATATCAAAACTGAAAACTTTTTATTCAGGAACAAACAATGCATAAACTGCCTTCAGAGGCAGAAATGTCTTTATTTCTTAATAATTATTATATAATAATTATTAAATATTTATATAATAATACTTATTATATTTATTAATACTATTCTAATAACTATAATAGTATTTAGCATCCATGACGCAAATTAGTAGAAAGTGGTTATAGCCAGACCTAGTGTTAGACCTAGTGTTAAACCTACTACCTAAAGTTAGACCTAGTGTTCAAATGTGGTACGTTCAAGACTATGAATGAAATTTACCCACAGAATTAGAAATCAGCAATGTGTTTTTAAAAAAAGATGGTCAAAATGTGAAGGACTACATTTTGAGTCTCTTGATAGTGGGACAGTAACAAAGATGCCACAGACAAGAAAAATGATCTACTAGTTTCTTGACTTTCTATATGCCTCCCTTCATTTTTTGTTTTGTATTTTTGTTTCCTTTTTTGACGTGCAGTGTGTGAAAAGGGGAATATTGTGTGTCTTAACACCACTATAGAAACAATAAAAAAAGAAATTACCAGTCTTAACTTACCTTAGTGTTTTTAATTTACAGTTGGGATGCATCAGAGCCACAAAGAACAGTTTTACTGCTGAATCCCCCAGTTTATTGACACTCAGATCCAGCTCTCTTAGATTGGAGTGTTGACTGTAGAACAGAGACCAGATCCTCACAACATCTCTCTGTTAGTTTACAGCTCCCCATCCTGCAGACAAAAAGGAGCACAGCAGCTTGACTACAGCACCCAACTAGGAAATAATACACGTCATGTCTATACCCATCTTAGAGTCCACGGGTGAAATGAGAATGATGATACAATTTTAGGACTCAAAAGGGGGAAACAGAGACACACGTGGAGCTACAGTGAAAGGAAAAGGGAAACAAAAAGAGACTTTGACTCATAGACTCACATGTCTCATTGTGAAAACAGCAGACCTCTTCAAACAAAATTGTTTGTTATTTTTTATTATTATTATTTATTTCCACAATTTTACTACAGGAATTCTAGCTAGATCTTGCTCTTAACCAACCCTTCAATCTCTCACCAACTCTACAAACCTAAAAATAGGGCCAACAAGGCAACCCTGTCTTGTGCCATTGAACAGATAAACGTAATTGCAGGATAAATGATTAGTTCAGACCAAGGCATTGAGAGAGCTATAAAGCACTCTAATACAAGAGATAAAGTCTGGACCAAACTCAAATTCTCCAGAGTCTCAGATTAAACAAATGAATAATGTCACTCCACCTGGTCAAGTGCTTTTTCTGAATCAGATTATGAATAACCTGGACATCATCCCATGGACATGGACTTGGACACAAAAGCCTCAGATTAAAATAAAGACCTTAAGGAATCCTGTTTGGTATGGCAAAATAACTGAGTGGACCTCAACCTCAACCTCAACTTTCACACCAGTACTTTGGTCAATACCTTACCATCACAACAGAGAGGAGATAAGAACTGCAGTCTAAAAGATCTTTGTCTTTTTTTTTTGTTTGGAAAAGAAGAGTACAAATTTGCTCTTCTCAGTTATACAAAAACTAGAGCTAAAACTACAGGAGCAGTTTTTCCATGACAACAATAAACTGTGTCTTTGGCTGTGTGTTGCAGGACGAGAAGATGCTGGCCCTGCAAGTTTACAGACAACTGAGTGGATTTAGGTTTGTGACTCACAGCCACAATAGAGTTTGAATGTCAGCATTAAAAAGGCAATGTAAAGGTTTTCCATTTCCAAAATACAGCTGCCATTGTAGCTGCAGCTATATCATCCAAAGAAAACGGAATCTGCAGTTTGGGAGACTCCTTCTGCTGGAGCTTCTGAGGTTCTACCTTTAGGTTCAGACATTCTGTTAAATACAGTAGAGTCAATAATAATACAAGAATTGTTCAAATAATTCTGGGTTTTAATGGTAAAAAATGAAAAGTGTGCTAGAGCAGAGGATGAACATGTCTACTCCATTGAGCACCTAACGAGACGTCCCCTCACAGGGACAGTTTGACTCATCATCTTATCTTGATGTACAATGTGTGAAGTAAATGTGAGGTACTTACCATGGTTGTAGTTATCTTTGCCACAGGTATTAATCTCCATACACACTCCTCTGATGTGGCGTATTTACTCATGTCAAAGACATCAAAGACATCAAAGACAAAGACATCAGACAGCAGAGAGAAATAGGCAAGTGCTGAACACTGGGAAGGTGAGAGGCTTTGTCCTGAATTTTTTTAACACATCCAGAGTCACATTGAACTCATCTAGTAAAGACTGGTCCTTCAGTTCACTCAGGCAGCGGAAAAGGTTCATGCATCTTTCTGGAGAGGAAGTTGTTTTAATTCGTTTCTTGATATGTTCTGCTGTTTTCTGGATATCACTGGGGTAATCTTGTGAGTGTAACAGAAATCCCTTCAAAAGCTTCTGGTTGTTCTCTATTTCAATTCCCAGAAGGAATCGGACAAAAAAGTCAAGGTGGCCATTACTGCTCTGGATGGCTCTTTCCAGAGCATTTTTATTCAAAGTGAGCTTAGATTTTCTTTTTAAAGTGGAATCCTTATATTTTTTCTTTAGTGGGTTAAAATAGTTGTTGTGATTAGATCCAAAAATATACAGAGCTACAAAATATTCCTGGACTGTCAGGTGTAAAAAGCTGTACACCTTTTCCTCAAATAAGACTGAATCTTATTTGAATATTTCCTTGCACACCCCTGAGTAAAGAGAAGAGTTGTTGATATTGATGCCATATTCTCTCAGATCTTTTTCATGGAACACAGTGATGTCTGTTTTTCTCCAGACTTTCAAACGCCAGGTTTCCCAGCTTCAGAATTGCTTCTTGATTTGATATGAGGATATTTTCTTTCTTCTCTTTCCCTTCCTTTGCTGTCAGTAACACAAGCAGAAAGTTTGTATAGAGACCTGTCAATGTCTTTGGACTCTCCTCACTGTTCTCTTCCAATGTGTGCTCCAGAACACTAACTACAATCCAGCACAAAACAGGAATATAGCACAACATGTAAAGACTCCTCAGTGTCTTTATATGTGAAATAATTCTGTTTGCTAGAGTTCTGGTCTTACACTTCTTTCTGATATACTCTTCCTTCTGCTGGTCATCAAACCCTTGGACCTCTGTCACCGTGCTGATGAGCTCTGGAGGGATCAAACCTGCTGCAGCTGACCTGGAAGTGATCCAGATGGAAGTGTTAATGGGAAAGTTTCCCTTGATGAGGTTTGTTAACAACATATCTAACAATGTCGACATTTTCAGATCAGACCAGATCTGGTTTGTTTCAAAGTTAAAAGAATGTCTGCTTTCATCCACACCATCAAAGATGAAAAGGATTTTGCAGCAATCCAAAATCTTATCAAGGGATTTTATTTCTGGATAGAAACATTGAATTAGTTCCTGTAAACTCATTTCTGCTTGGATAAAGTTAATTTCACAGAATGGAAGAAAAAATATAAAGTCAAAGTCCCGGTTGTCTTTTCCAGTAGCCCAGTCGAGGATAAATTTCTTCACAGAGAATGTTTTACTGATGCCAGTGACTCCCTTCATCAGTACAGTCCTGATGGGTTTGCTCTGTCCTGGCAGTGGCTTGAAAATATCGCTGCACTTGATGGAGCGGATTTCTGATTTTGTGATTTTGGAGATTGTCTCTACCTGCCTGGCCTCATGTCCATGATTGACCTCAGCACAGTTGCTTTCAGTTATCCATGCATGTGTATACAGTAGATGTTATCAAGGAGGGTCTGCTCTCCTGGCTTAGCAATTCCCTCAGACACAACTTCCTCTTCAAGACTTCCTTGTGTTTGTCTTTCAGTGTCTGCATCCACCCTAAAACAGACAGAACACATGATAAAGGTACAGTTTGCTGTGAGACTTCAGGAGAAATCCTGACAGTGTAATATGATGATCGCTCTCTTATAGAGTCACCTGTGCCCTTTGATACTGAGGTGTATAGGTTTGCAATAATGAGAAACAATCAAAACAGATGGACCCAGGTGTCTTCAGTCAGTGTCTCAGTAGTTTATAATAATAAGGATAATAATCCTTACATTTACAGTAAATATCACTGCTTTCCTGTACACTCTGAACACTGAGCAATTTAAAGTTAATGTACTCCTCAAACAACACCAATGTGTAGAACCCACCTGGATGATGTGACAGCAGCTATAGTGCGTCAGTACACTCACCACACATCAGCTATCAGTGGGGAGGAGAACAGAGTGAATGAAGCCAATAAATAGATTGGGATTCTTAGGAGGTCATGAGTGGTAAAGGCCAAGGCGAAATTTGGTCAGAACACCAAGGTTAACACCCCTACTCTTTTCGATAAATGTCCTAGGATTCTTAATGACCATGGAAAGTCGAGACCTTGGTTTTGTGTCTCATTTGAAGGACGGTGCCTTTTTACAATATAGTGTCCCATTCAGTATACTGGGACATTATGACCCACACAGACTGCAGGGTGAGTGCTCCCTACTTGTTCCACTAACACCTCTTCCAGAAACTTCTTCCTTAACTTTTCCAGGAGGTCTCCTATCCAGGTACTGGCCAGGCTCACACCTGCTTGGCTTAAGTGGGTTGCCACTTGTTAGTTGCAGAGTGATATAGCTGCTGATTAATTTTAAGTCTTGCACTCTTACAGCTTCATAGACCCACCCTCTCATGAGTTTACACAGAGGGGTTATCTTGCATGAGAAAAATCTGAGTTGAATTAGTTCAAGATGTTGACAAGTTGGTACAGTATTAAATGTTAATTGACTTCCTACACTAATCATGTTGTGCTAACAACAATTTCATTAATATGGATCCCCTCCCCCAAATGTAACCCAAAGTCAATTTCCTTGAATTACTGTAGGTGGGAGACTATTTACTTAGCCACCTGCCATTAGAAATGAATTAAAAAATGGAAGCTCTATCTTCTCTGAGATTTCATTTGTGGAACTTCCATTATGTGCATATTGAGAATTAAAATAAGAAAGTAGTTCAAGTAGGTAGCTCCGTCAGCATACGTAGGCTGCAAAGGAACAGGTAATGGGTTTATTCCATCCTGAAAAGAAAAGAAAGGGAACACAACGTTTCGGCTGTGGAGCCTTCTTCGTTGTGAGGTGCTTTGTTACCTGTTCCTTTAAAATAAGGAAGTTTTACTGTTATATCCTGTTTTATTTGATTTGAATGGGGTCCTATTCATTGCGCAGCAGTACTTACTTTAATAAAGTGGTTACCTTAATAAAGTGGTTACTGTTTGTGATGTGAGTGACTTGGAAGCAGCTGTGGAGGCAGAGATGAACAAACTGGAAAAACTAAGAGGAGCTAGATGTGGTGATGAAAATGCTCTCAAATCTGTAGCAGTTTCAACAGGAATTCCAGCAGAAATCCATGTACAGTACAGAACAAGGTGAACAGCACAGCACCAATACAGGAAATACAGGAAATACAAGGAAGTAATAAAAGAGAATTAAAGAAAGGTACTGACATAACAATGAGTTTGGTTTAGCAGTGGTTTAGCAGGTACATAACTTGTTATTCAGTGCATACAACATCTAATTTTATATATTTTGCTCAGCTTTTGATTTTTAGGTCATATTTAGGTTTGTGAGATGGTTATTATCGGTTTATGATGAAGGCACCCTGGGTACATCAGAAAGGCTTTACTAATGAAAGTGAAAAAAGACTTTTTGTCTGTTCCTTTTTCTCAGTTTGTTTTAGAAAATATTGATAACTTGTAAGTTGTGAAAATTAACCTGATTAATTATGATTACGATTTATTTATGTATTAGTGTACTGCAGAAACCGGTGCCTCAGTTTGGTCTCATCAGGGAGTGAGCTATTTGGGAGAAAGTAACTCCTGGAGTTAATAAAGAAAACAGGTTAAAAAAGAAGACAGGGTAGGCTGACAGGCCAAAATGAAAATAATCAAGTTGAGGTCTCTTTCCACTGCTACTCATTTGTAAGATACAAAAAAGTTAAAGAAGACAAAGAGTTAGGGACTGAATTAGGGTTAGAATACAAAATATCCAGTCAAAATCCAGTCTCCAGTTAATGTGTGCAGGTGCTCAGCTACCATCTAAGGGGAATCTGTCACAGTCACCTTAGGTTTTAAACGTTTTAATGAACCAATTTATGGATCAATTTATCCCTTTGTCACAACCTCTAGCAAGTGACAATTAAAAGAAATGTGTTGCATTGGGAGCCTCTGAAAGAACTGAACTTTTTAGTCCTGAACAAAGAAAACTATGAGGAGACCTGATACAAGGTCTAGCTTTCCCTGTGTTGTGTAAGGTTCAGCTTTATGTAAGAATCTCCCATAAGTTCCATAGAAAAAAAAAGTTTCTGAAAGTTGCCTTCTGTAACTAAGTTAAGTTACTTTAGACAAGTAAAGAACAATTTGTGTGATGAACTCCTTCTGTGGGTTATAAACGTAGAGTATTCATAACACAGTCACCACAGGACACCATGTTACTCTGTTTCATTCTGTTTTCATACACATGTATCTGCGTATCTTCTTGTGCTTTTATATGGAAAATTGTGAGTAACGCGTAATGCAGTCGTGTCTGGGAAACACAAAGTAAATGATCAAATAAATTCACTCAGGTGTTTTATTTTGTGTATAATTACTGAATAGTACATTGTATAGTATTGGTATGGCTGTTGAAGTGTGTAAGAATAGATTGAGACAGTGGTCAGCATCTAGTGTCAACATTCATTGAAAGCAAGAAAGCAACTGAGGTGTTCGCTGAGTTGTAGTGGATGTGGGATCAAACAAATCATCTTATATATGAGATATACTGTATATATATATATGATATCCGATATATGATATAGGAGACTGATATAACCTACAAGGTAGACAATAATACATTAGTGTATATATTTTAATTTAGTAGTAATTTATTGTTTTTAATCCCTGAGTAAATGATCAACAATGTGTATCACAGCAGATCGATCCACAGATATATTCTTTTATTCTTGTTGGTTTGTTACACATATTTCGTTATTGTATCAATAAATTGTATACTGTATATTTATAACCTATGTGTGAGACATAATATCAAACATATTATGTTTGATAACTAAC